CACCCTCTGCTCCAGTCATGCAAAGCCATTTGGTTAGAAGGTGGGAAGGACAGACTCATGGACACAAGTGTAAGGGTAGGTTTGAGCCCAGAGTAGAGACCAGCATGGCAAATCCCACTGGAACAGTGTTCCTCCACTGCACACACTGCAATTCTGAGTCCTGTGGAGGCACATTTCTGTGCCTTCTCAGTCTTGGAAGAGAAGGGCAACTACAGACCACAGGGTGTGGTACAGAATCCCTATTCCCCACCCCAACACAGCACACAGCCAGATGACCAGGGTTCCCAGCTGGGTCAGCAAGGACCACATATGAAGGGACATAGGAAGCCACATGGAGGAGGAGAAGGAGGGGAAGGGGAGAACTAGGAAGACCTGGTGTTGTCAGTTATTATTTGGATCTCAGTTTTCTCATCCAGATGATGGCAAAAATGCCTGCTTAATAGTCACAAATTTTTTTTTTCATTGATTTTTCATAAGTATTTCCTAAGATTTCACTAGCCATTATGGAAATGAGATTAGAAGAATGTAGTAAGTAAAATGCATAAGTTAACTGCACTAAACCCGTATCTGTTTCCACCCTTGCCTCTGCAGTCTGTGGTCAAAAGAACAGCCAGGGAGAGCTGATTTAAATACAACCAGACCGTGTCATGGCTCTGCTCAAAGCCTTTTAATGGTTGCCCATCTCCCAGTAAAAGTGCAAGTCCTTGTAAGAGCTTATACCATTCTAGTGCTCTGTCCTCCTTCTAGCCTTCCACTTCTTCCCCCCTCCTCACTCCACCCCATGCGCTTTCTTGAACAAGCCAGGATGCTCCCCGAATATCTGTGAATGTGTTCCCTCAACTCTTTCCAGTCTTGATTCAACTACCCCCTTCTCAGCAGGGCCTTCCTCTTACCCTGCTTAAAACTGCAACTCCCTCAGCCCCCTCCCTGCCTTCAGTGACTCTAGAGCACTCACCATCTAACATACTCAATTGTATTTTACCCACTTGCTGTTGGCTGCTTACCTCTTTCCACTTGAACATAAGTTCCATGAGGACAGGGGTTTTTACTGTTTTGGTCACTGCTGTATGCCCTAGCTCTAGAACAATCCCTGGCACACAGCAGATACCCAATATATATTTGTTGAATGAAGGAATGATCGAATTGGTTACTGCAGGTATATTCTAAGGCTGAGCTGATAAGAGGCCCAGCAGTATCAGGCCTGGGACCTGCCAGAGCAAAGGAGCTTCATGGATAACGAAATACACTTTGAACACTGGGGTACGCAAAGCTCCATGCAGGTGAGGTGCTGGCGCTGGAACCAGGCTGAGCTGCAGCCAGCTGGCCAGCCCCTGGCCTCAGGGGCTTCACAGACTATAAAAACAGAGCAAGATGGCATATCCCATGACTCAAATTAGCACTACCAGAGGTCCAGCGTAGGAGAGGCAAGGCTGGGGCAGGGGTATTACTAAGCACGTGCAGGAATTCTTCTTGATATGAGACAATGGAATCTGAGCCTGGAAATGACTGCTTCCTTAGCGCTCCAAAGAAAATTATTCAGAAGGAATAAGCCTGCCTGCTTTGTCATGTAAATAACATCTATTTCCTTTCTTGAAAATCCATAAGCTAGAAATCAGGTTTTTCAAATGACTGAAATAAAGCACAACCTGTCTGGATAGAAAGATCAGGCTTCATGCTGTGAACGGTGAGGATTCCATGAGTGCTTTATGAACATGATACACGATGTATCATTATTGGGTGACTTGAATCAGAATGCTCTGGCATAGAATTCTCACACAGCGATTATTGTGCTTGGACAGAATCCCCACTTCGAGCTCAAAACGTCTTTCCTCAGAATTTCTGCCTGTTAAATGAACTGAGAATCAGGCTATGGGGCACAAAACAAAATGATTAATCCTTTCCATATCCTTTTAAAAAAAATGAATAATGCTCTGGAGTCTGGTATTTGCCTAGACGGAGCATGTCATCAAAACAAGTGAATCACCTCGGACTGTATATTACGGGCCAGTCACTAAGCACAACACAGAAATACCACCAGAGATAGGGTTTCATAAGAAAACATTAATTTCTTCAAAATCAGATTATTCAGATTTACCTTAAAATAACATATATCGAGTGCATATTATGTGCTAGCCACACAACTGTGTATGTTCACATTGTTTTAACCAGACCTAATAAGAAATGATGTAATAACTAACACCCCTTTTCCAGATGAGGAACTTGAGGATACCAGAGAATAAGAGATTTGTCTAAATGGTAGAGCCTGGTAGTGCTAAAATTCAAATCCGGCACTCTTGACTCCAAGCTTTGTGTTCATTCTGCTGCACTATAGAAGTAGGTAAAAGCCTATTAGAATTGTAATGAAAGTAATGAAAAATGTTCCCAATGGTATTTTAGTAAGGGCCTCTCATCTGAAAATCCAAGCTATTATTTCTAGAATCTTGTAGGCTTTCATAGAAATTAACAAATATGTTCAATTATCTATTCAATCCCTTTATCTAATGAATACGAATTTGAGGAAATGTTTACCTCTTAGCATCTCCTTGTCCATGAAAAGAATTAACTTTCATATCTAATAAAGACAACCTTTAATTTCATTTCCCCTCACGTACTATGTATTGAAAAATCAAAGGCTTTTAGCTGGTTCATACTTTAGCCCCTCATTTTAATAATCAAAAAATTTAGAATGTCAGGGCTGCTGAATGACAGCAGGGATCATATATTTCGGTGGCTATAATCAGAAGATAACATCCTGTCAGGGTAGTTAATACATTTAAGAGTTTTTACTTCTTTAAGATCCACATGCTAAAAGGTCCAGCAAGGAAGCTGCATGTGAGTGCTTGTGGTTTTCTTTATCAATTAAATTATAAAAATAAACTTATTATCATGACCTAGAGAGGGCTTATGGATAGACTTAGTGTTACTGTTATAAGTTGGCTGGAATTTCACTTCTGGTTAAACAGAAGAGATTGTGGAGACAACAGCAGTACAATTTCCACGCAGGGCCAGTGCTCTGAAGAAAGGTAAAAAGGACTCCAGAAGTGCCTGTGATGGGCACAGTGGGGTAGCCTAGGCTTGACACTTCTCAGACCAGGAGCAGAAACACTTGGGCACTGTGCCCAGTATTGCTCCTACAGGGGCAAATGTGCAGGAAGACTTCAGCTGGGCAATTACAGTTTTTATATGGTGGTTTTCCTTTCTGAAGAAAAGTATCTGAATCAAGCTTCTGGGCTCACTGACATTAAAAATGGAGGAAAATGCCCACCTGACACCAAATGCCATGTCTGCAAAACAGGCATGTAATCAGTCCCTCTTGACCCTGAAGATGTATTTATGCAACAGGTTCCAAAGGCCAGGACACAACTGCTCAAAATCCTTTCCAAACCAGCTTCCAGTGAATCGGTAGACTCAATGCTGGTGCAACACTTGGTTAACAGGTTGAGTATCTCTGGAGAACACCCTGGCTGAAAAGGAACTGGGAGGGAAAGACTGGCCTAGGGTTACCCCTGAAAACTGTCCTTAAAAGGGGCTTTAACAATTAATTCTGAACTCCTATCACTAGGAAAACAATCAAGGCCATCTCATCTATTTTGCTGCAGGAAAATCAAATCACTCTCTTCGTGACATCTGTTACTTAAATGTAGTGAGGCAAGATAAATCTTCCCTGAAAACCTCACTAAGCCCCTTGGCCCTTCTAGGGGGAAATACAGTAGAGGTAAGCAGTCGAGACTTGGTTCTCTACTTCTTTCTTCCCACAAATGGCCTCTGCTAAGGCAATTTGAGAATGTTATTTATTTACTAGAAACCTGACTTTTACTTTGCACAAGGTTCTGGAGGAGTAAATCTGGGGGACCAAAAAGGGGAGCAGACAACACCAAATATTCTGAGATGCATAAGCAGCAGCTGGAGAGGAAGATGCATGAGGTTGGGAGAGGGACAGGCTGCCCCCCAGCAAACCCAGCTTCTGTTTCCACAGGTAAGGTGGGGACTTTGAAGAAGTCTCACCTGCTGGGTGTCCTCACCTGTGCAAGCTCAGGGGAGAGGAGACAGGCATAGCTCCAACCTCAAAGAGGAGCATCCTGGAGCCCAAGTTGTAAAACAGACAACCTGGCAGAAATCCAGAATTTAATACATTGGAACAATTCATACCTCTGAGCAATGATTCAGACATCCACCTAGGCCAGTGATCTGTCAGGAGTGAATCACTTAAATACATCTTGGTTGAAAAACAAGCAAATATAACTTAAAAGTTATTTTCAATAGAAAAACAATGTGGAGAGCAAGGAAGTTCAGGGAGGCTTTCTCTGCACATTAGCTGGGTAGGAACGGGGGAAATTTGAGTTCTCCTAGCACTTTTCTCCCCGCACCCGCTCAGGCCGTGACCTTTTTGCCACAACTGCACACCCCCGAATTCAGCACGAATCGGGCAGGTTTTCAGAGCCCGGGTGCTGGCAGTTGGTGCTAGCTGCCTGGGAAAGCCCGGGTTGAGCGACACTAACACTCCCATCCTCCCTACTCAGCCCCGCCATTCCTGAGGCTAATTGGACTGCCTCTTCCAGTCCAATTGAGAACCATAATCCAAACTCAATCTCTGTCCCGGCATAGTGGTTCAGGCAAAAAAAAGGGGGGAGCAGACAGCCCCCCCCCCAATTTAATTAATTAATTAAACCATGTTTGCTTCCACATGGGCAGAACCGGGAGCTACCTGCTTCCCTGTCTCCCTTCCAAGCCTTTTTTATCATTTTGGGTAAAGCAGGATTCAGCAGCTTGTGGAGCACCCAAATGGGAGTCCCCAAAGGAGCTTTGTTCTTCGCACGCAGAAAGGAATACCCTCGAAGGGGAAGCCCCCACGTAGAGTCCGAGGCCGAGAAGGCGCGGAAGGACCCAGGCACCGGGTGCACGAGCGCCTGGCCCACCCTCCCACCCGTCCGCCCCGGCTGCGGCCTGGGCGCCGGGAGCCCGTGAGGGTGCGCGCGTTGCCCACCCGCCGCGCCGCTCACCTAGCACCACCGCGGCGACGGTGGAGAGCAGCAGCCAGTTATTCCTCAGGAAGCGCTTGTAGTCGCATCCCTTCCTCGCCAGCTTCCTCATGGCAGGCGCTTGGGCTGAGAGCTGCCGCGGCGGCGGCCGCTATTGTGTGCGGGACTTGGCCGAGCGTGCCGGAGCCGGGGACCCGGGACAGCCGCGGGCTCCGCGGCGCAGCGGAGGCGGGATGCGAGCGCGTCGGAGAGAGGGTGCACGCTGGCTGCTGCAGCTGCCGCTGTCACTGCTGCTGTCGCTGTCACTGCCGCTGCTGCCGCCACCTGAGACCGCGCGAGGCGCCTGCAGCTCGGTGGATGTGCGTGGCGGACGCGCCTGGCTCCTCCTGCTGCCGCCGAGGTCTGCGGAGCGCGGGCCAACCAGCGAGGAAGGGGGGAGGAGCGGCGGACTCGGAGGCTGTAGGTGCGTGTGTGGAGTCCCCGCGGATTCCGTGGAGCGGGCGTGGGAACGCGCCCAGCGCGGGAGGGTGGAGTTGGGGCACCTATTCCGGGAACCCTGCGCCCCGCCCCAGCCTTCAGAGGGAGTTTTTCAGGGTGTTTTTTGGGATCATGCTAGGTTTTCGGATTTAGGGTTTCCTCCTCTCTGTAATCCAGAGAGGCGGAGCCCTGGCCCCTTTGGTTTGGCCTTCATCCTGCACGCGTCCTCCTCTCCGCTTTCTC